TTTTTTTAATTAGCCAGGCATGTTGGCATACACCTGTAGTCCTAGCTACTTGGGAGGCTGAGGCAGGAGGATTCTTGAGGTCAGGAGTTTGAGGCTGCAGCAAGCTGCAATCACGCCACTGCACTCTAGCCTGGGTGACAGAGCAAGATCCTTCCTCAAAAATAATAATAAATAAATGGTGATATGAGGTAGGGGTGGGGTGGTGAGGGCTTGGTATTCAGAAGAGTCCCTCTGGCCAAGAGGAGGCCCCATAGTATTATGGGCATGGGTTTGGGCACAAAAGAGGCCTAGACCCTCTCACAGGCCACTCGTGATCTAGCTTTCCTCGCCCCTCTGGCTTGTATTCTCTTCACTCACATAACCCAATTTACGTGTGTGTGTGTGTGTGTGTGTGTGTGTGAGAGAGAGAGAGAGAGAGAGAGAGAGAGTTTTTTCTTTTTAATTTTTCCTTGATAATCTTACTAAACCACATATGGTTCCCCCAAACTGTTCCATCTGCCTAAGACACCTTCCCCCTGCTCTCCCTCATCCTGACTACATGACCAACTCCTACTCATCCTCTAAGTCACAACTTAGTTGTCACTTCCTCTGAGAAGCCCTCCCTGACTGTCATGTGCAAATCTCTGTTATTATCCATAGAAGAGTGGGTCCCAGTGGCCCAGACTCTCCTAGTAGCCTCACCCAGAGGCCTCTTCACCCCTGTAAAGGCTGGGCTCAGGCCTACTGTTCCCAAACTCCCTGGTACCTGGCACAGGGCCTAGACACACAGTGATGCCCAGTAAATATTGAGTGAACAAATAGAAGTCTGGACAAGGAGGAAAACAAGCTGAAGAGTCCCGGATGATACTAGTGGTTATGACTGCCACTGTTGATTAAGTATCTGCCACATGCCAGGGGTCTAAATACATCACCTAACTTAATCCTTATGACAAGGCTATGAGGCAGATACTTTTTCTAATCTTTCTTTCTTTTTCTTTTTCTTTTTTTTTGAGACAGGGTCTCGCTATGTTGCCCAGGCTAGTTTCGTACGCCTGGGCTCAAACAATCCTCCTGCCTCGGCCTCCCAAAGTGCTGGGATTACTGGCATGAGCCACCATGCCCAGATGAGGCAGATACTTTTGTTACCTCATTTTACAGGTGGAGAAACTGAGACTCCAAAGGCTAAGTCACTTGTCATCAGTTGATAAGAGACAGAGCTGAGATTGACGCCCAGGCAGGCTGGCTCCAGAGAGCACATTGGTACCTACTTAGTTGGGCTGAGGGTTCTGGGCTGTCTGGTGAGACAGCAAATAGGGGTCAACGTGGTAGATTCTCTCTATGGCTTTTCTGCCTTTTGTATTCACACTCAAAGGGATGAAAAGCCTTAAAACATCGGCAAGCAGGTCAGTGGTAGTTCTACGTCATCCCATCTTACCTCACCAGGTCTATCGAATTAACTATAATTAGAGTCTTTGTGCTTGGTTGCCCTTCATAGTGGGTCACCATCCACACCGAACGGACTGTTGTCCTGCTCACACCCTGTTATGTACTCTGAAGATGAAAGCTCCGTGTGTCCCATAATCAGGGCAGTGAGCCTCATGCCCTTTGTCCCGTTTGTCTCCTGCAGATGTCATGGCACCCCCAGTACCGGAGCTCCAAATTCCGCCATGTCTTTGGCAAACCAGCCAGCAAGGAGAACTGCTACGACTCCGTGCCTATCACCCGCAGCGTTCACGACAACCACTTCTGTGCTGTGAACCCCCACTTCATTGCAGTTGTGACTGAGTGTGCTGGTGGAGGGGCCTTTCTTGTCATCCCCCTGCACCAGGTAAGGACACCCCCAGGCCCAAACAGCTCTCTGGAGGCAGGGCAGGATGGAGGGAGAGTAGAAAGAGCCTGAGTTTCTGGAAGTTCTAGCTCTGCCCATTACTAGCTCTGTGACCTTGGGTAAGTCATTTCATCTCTTTGAGCCTTGGTTTCCTCACTGGGAAAAATACACCTGTCTTGAATTTTAGCCTCTAGCAGTTGGCCTAGCTATTCCTAGACCTCTCCTCTTCTCTATAAAATAATTCTGCAAATTAATTTTTTCCTGAACAAAATATAATTTGTTAATGCTTTACTGGGATTATAGGAAATTGGGAAAGTCTCCAAAGCCACCGTCCCCACCAAAAAAAGGGAAACAAACATTGAGTCAAAACTACCAAGGAGAGGTAAACAGTAAGCAAGCAGGGCTTGCCCTGAGGTCAGGTGTTGCTGGTATAGGTTGAACCATATAAAACTGTGGATATTCAACTGGTTTTGACCCCCAAAAAGCAAGAGTTTCACATAGATCAACCTAATAGCAGGTGTCTTCAGGATGCCAACCCTGAGTGTCTACCTTAAGGCAGAACACCTGAAGGGGCCAGAGGTATCCCAAGTGAGTAGTGCCACTGATTCACAGCAGAAGCCGACATGAAACCTCTCCAGATGAAAGCATCCACAATATGGACAGGATCCCCACAGATTAAACTTAGGGAAATATGAATTCACAAAGATCACAAAGCATGTACACCACCATGAGTGAGAGTCAGTCGAAGCCACAAATAGCAAGCTTAGACCCCCAGAGGACTTGGATCATACAGATTAGAATCTCACAGACCAGGTTTTCTGAACACAATGCATTTGAGTTAGAAATCAATAACAAGATAAATCTTAAATTCCCATTCACTTGGAAACTTAAAAACATATTTCTAAATAATTTATAGGCCAAAAACAAAATCATGGAAATTTAAAAATACTTAGAACTGATGTAATGAAATATGTCATGTAACTTATGGGATGTAGGGAAAGTGGTGCTTCAGGGGAAATCTATAGCACTAATGCTTATGTTAGAAAACAAGAAAGGCAGGTCAGGTGCAGTGGCTCATGCCTGTAATCCTAGCACTTTGGGAGGCCAAGGTGGTGGATCACCTGAGGTCAGGAGTTCAAGACCAGCCTGGCCATCATGGTGAAACCCCATCTTTAAAAAAAAAAAAGAAGAAGAAGAAAGCCTAAAAATTAATGACTAAATATTCCATCTAAGAAATTAGAGCCTCTGTCCCCGGGGGCTGTTCTCCATCACTCTTGCCATTGCCCAGGGAGGGAAGGGTCTGAGCAATAAAGTTTCTTAGATAAATCAATAAAAAAAAAAAAAAAAAAAAAAGAAGAAGTTAGAGCCAAGTACTGTGGCTCACACCTGTAATCCCAGCACTTTGGGAGGCAAAGGCTGGAAACTTACTTAAGCCCAAGAGTTTGAGACCAGCCTGGGCAACATGGTGAAACCCCATCTGTACAAAAAATACAAAAATTAGCTGGGCATGGGGGCATTTGCCTGTGGTCGCAGCTACTCGGGAGACTGAGGTGAGAGGATCACCTGAGCCCAGGGCGATTGTGAGCCATGATTACAACACTGTACTCCAAACTGGGCAACAGAGTGAGGCCCTCTCTCAAAAAAAAAAAAAAGCTAAACAAAGAGCAGCAGAATGAACCCAAAGAAAGTTTGAGGAAGGTGATAATAAAAAGCAGAAATCAATGAAAGAGAATATAAGGATACCTTAGAGAAGATCAAAAGGGCCAAAGGTTTGTTATTAGAAAAGAGTGATAGACAAACCCTGCAGAGACTGGTCAACAATAAAACAGAAAGAGTACAAAAGCCATCAGGAATGAGAAAGACAGTATCACAGGAGAGCTTTGAAATCTAACAAGACACTAATACAAGCAACTGTATGTCAATAAATGTGAGAACATTGACAATATGGGCAAACTCCTTAAAAAATATAACTTGTCAATACTGATTCATGTAGAAATAGAAAACCTGAATAGTCCTTTAAACTACTTTAAAGGAATAGTCCTTTAAGTACTTTAAAAATTGAGCAGTAGGCCAGGTGTGTTGGCTCATGCCTATAATCCCAGCATTTTGGGAGGCTAAGGCAGGTGGATCACCTGAAGTCAGGAGTTTGAGACCAGCCTGGACAACATGGAGAAACCCCTCTCTGCTAAAAATTCAAAAATTAGCCAGGCGTAGTGGTGGGCGCCTGTAATCCCAGATACTCGGGAGGCTGAGGCAGGAGAATCACTTGAAACCAGGAAACAGAGGTTGCAATGAGCTGAGATCATGCTACTGCACTCCAGCCTAGGCAACAGAGCCAGACTCTATAAAAAAAAAAAAGGCAATAAAAATTTCCCTTAAAGAAAATAGCAAAAGGAAAGGCAAGCTATAGGTGGAAACGGATATAATAAACATGATAGTTCCAGCTCCTTGAGAGGCTGAAGCAGGAGAATTGCTTGAGCCCAGGAATTTGAGGTTGCAGTAGCTATGAAAACGCCACTGCACTCCAGCCTTGGTAACAGGGTAAAACATCTCTTAGAAAAAAAAGAGTTATCAGCTGGGTGCAATGGCTCACGCCTGTAATCCCAGCACTTTTGGAGGCTGCTGAGATGGGCATATCACTTGAAGTTAGGAGTTCAACACTGGCCTGGCCAACATGGTGAAGCCTCATCTCTACTAAAAATACAAAAAAATAGCCAGGTGCAGTAGTGGGTGACTGTAATCCCAGCTATTCAGGAGACTAAGGCAGGAGAATTACTTGAACCAGGAAGGCGGAGGTTGTACTGAGCCGAGATTGCACCACTGTACTCCAGCCTCAGTGACAGAGTGAAACTCCATCTCAAAAAAACAAAAAAAGAGAAAAAGTTATAGAGAGGACCCTTTACCCCCAAATACTGTACTTCGGTCTGCATCTTCTCAGAACAAGAACATCTCTTATATAACCACATTCTAGAAATTTAACATTGATACAATGCTAATTATAACATACAATCCAAATTCAAATTATATCAGTTGTCCCAATAATGACCTTTATAATAGCTTTTTTTTTTTTTTTTTTTTTTTCGGATCTAGAATCCAACCCAGGACCACACATTAGTTGTCATCTCTTAGTCTTCCTTATTTCATGATATTAACATTTTTCAGGAGTAAAGTTCAGTTGTTCAGTAGAATGTTTCTAAATTTGGACCTGCCAAATTGTTTCCTCATGATTGGAATCATTTATGTATTTTTGGCAAGAATATTGCATGAGTGGTGGTATATCATTTTTAGGTCATTACATCATGGGACACATGATGTCAGTTTGTCACATTATTCATGCTATTAACTTGACTTCTTTGTTAAATAGTGCAAATATCATTCATAAAGGAGAAATGTTAGAAGCATCTACAGACCGGACAGGGTGGCTCACACCTATGCGCCCAGCACTTTGAGAGGCCAAGGTGGGCAAATCTCTTGAGTCCAGGAGTTCAAGACCAGCAATGTAGTGAAATCCCATCTCTACAAAAAATAGAAAAATTAACCAGGCATAGTGGTACATGCCTGTAGTCCCAGCTACTCAGGAAGCTGAGACAGGAGGATCCCTTGAGCCCAGGAGTTCGAGGCTGCAATGAGCCATGAACGTGCCACTGCACTCCAGCCTAGATGACAGAGTGAGACCCTGTCTCAAAATAAATAAATAAATAAATAAAATAAAATAAAATCAGGAATAAGTTAAAAGATCATGGCCCATACAGTAAGGCTAGAAAAATATAACTTGTCAATACTGATTCAAGTAGAAACAGAAAGCCTGGATAGTCCCCTAACTACTAAACATTGAGCCATAAAAATTTCCCTTAAAGAAAAGACGAAAGAAAAATAGCAAAAGAGGCTGGGTGCAGTGGTTCATGCCCGTAATCCCAGCACTTTTAGAGGCCGAGGCAGGTGGATCACCTGAGGTCCAGAGTTTGAGACCAGCCTGGCCAACATGGCGAATACCTGTCTCTACTAAAAATACAAAAATTAGCGAGGTGTGGTGGTGCATGCCTGTAATCCCAGCTACTCAGGAGGCTGAGGCAGGAGAATTGCTTGAACCCAGGAGGTGGAGGTTGCCATGAGCTGAGATTGTGCCATTGCACTCCAGTCTGGGTGACAGAACGAGACTATCCCAAAAAAAAGGAAAAAGTAAAATAGCAAAAGAAAAACAACTTAAAAGTGTTAAGATGGAAAAGGAAGAAATAAAACTGCTATTATTTACATATATGATTGTCTACATAGAAACCCAAAAGAACATGTAGTCAAATTATTAGAAAACTAAGTGTTTAGAAGGTAGTGGATACAAGAATCAGAACACAAAAATGAATTACATTTGCACATACTGGGAATATTTAGATGATATAATTAAACATTTGCAATAGGATAAAAGAAGATCAGATACCTAGAAATAAACAAGCAACACTTAGAAGGAAAATGATAGAACATTGTTAAAAAACTAAATTAAAGATGACCTAAATAAATGGAAATATTTACTATATTCATAGATAGACACTTTTAGTAACCTCCCTCAAATTCCCACAGCATTCTCCTTTTTTAGGACATATTCTAAGCCTGTTTTTTCCTTAGAACCATGCCCTATTTTGAATTAGAGTCATTTGTGTTTTTCTGCTAGTACCTCCCCATGTAGTTGGGTGCCTAATTGTTGCTCATAACTTTTTATTGACTCCACAAATTATCTAATGGTTGTTCATCCAAATAAATAGGGAGGGCATAAATGGCAAAGGGAATGGCACAGGCAAAGGCATATACGATTGTATATGGAATGTTCAGGAAGCAATGCAGAGAGCAGCTGTCTGGCCAGAACAAATAAACAATCTGTGAAGAAGGAGAAGGGGAGCACCCTGAGGGAGTGGACTGGGGCCAGAGGACCAGAGCCTTGAATGATGGGGTGAGGTGTGTGACCTGTATTCTAAAGAGAGAGAGGACATTTCAAGCTGGGGAGGGACAAG